TTCGAGTTATCCTATGAGACAAGTCGACTTACCCTATAGGATAAGTCAAAATACTAAGTGAACAAGTATAAATGTCTTAATTGAAAGTAGTAACTAATGCTATAGGATAAGTTGACTTGTCTCATAGTATAACCCGAATTCTTTGCAAAATGGAATGTCTCGATAGCAAGTTATATCTGTTTTAATTTATAAAAAATTCTGTACTAGTTTTTTTTTTCAATTATTGACATATTTTTAAGAGTAATTTAATACAACAAGATGTGTTCCAATTCATGTAACCAATCAGATTAACCATGTGTGCCTCTATAATGGTGTCCATATTTTCCCTTAAACGGTTGTTTCCCTTCCCTTAAACGGTGACTACATTGGACCCAAAACTATTTTATTGGCTCCTTTTCTGTCGCTAGAAGTCAATCAATAAGCATCTGTGATGACTAAATACCTTCCTTGTTCTACTTCGTTTCGTCTTTATGCTTTCAGTTTATATTATTTTTTTCTATTGATAAGTGTTCTATTAGTTAAAGTGTTCTATTATATTGATGATCAAGGTCCACCTTATTTAACAAAATTAAATGTAACTGGTTTACCGCGTTTAAAAGATTTAAAAAATGCTCTTGAACGTACTTGTTCAAAATATAAATTTTTTCGTTGTTACAAATGATCAATCTATTGGAAAAGTTAAAGAAGAAATTATTAATGATGAAGAAATTTTACCATTTGATACACAAGATCGTATTCTTGCTTATCTTGTTTCCCTTGAAGGTAGCACAACATCAAGTGGCCGTGGTGGTGGAGGAGAAGGAAATAAACAATCCAAACATCTTCATCATCATCAAGATGATACAATATTAACATTAACAATAAATAGTTCATTTAATACTCAATAACCACGTTTACAACGTATGAGTCGACGTTATGCATCAGCAAATAGTACTGATTATCAAAAATATTTTGCTAAGCAACGAGCTGGAATTGAAGTTATATCATTTCCAAGTAATGACTTGGAATCAACAACGTTCTTAGATGAAACGGAAGATGATCGGTTAGTACAATTTTTTCTCAATATGCAATAGTGAATAATGACCGATGGTGTTTTTCGGCGTCTGCATTATAAGCGTTATTTCAATAACTGTATTATAAGTAGAATTTTATATGCAACTAGGCTCATCTAGCGAGAACTGCGAATTATTCGAAAAAATCAAAACTTACTAGCAGCTAATGTCGGTGTAGGACTTCGAGGTACTCGATTAAAAATTGAATAAGTCGGGAACGCATGTTTAAAAAAAAATCAAGGTTTAAGTGGTAAGATACAATAGGAGTGATTGTGGAATCACTGAAAGGATAAACCCGTTATTAAATGAAATCTGATCAGATGGAGCTGAAACTTTCAGCATATATAGCCCAACTGTAGCCTTATCTATTTTAAAAATACTGTCGATAAATCTTGTAATGACAAGGAATCATGAGCCAATCATCATCGGATCCTACATAAGGCTTTCATTCACTCAGTATATGAGCAAATGGGCTCAATCTTTGAGTGAATAAATACCATAATCTAGACTTTATATCTGTGCAAGAATATCAGACCTTGGTCATATGAACGAGAAGAGATGGTGAAAATATTACTAAATTCTGTATTCCTCTTGAGAAAGTTCAAAAGATTTATTATAAAATATGTATTGTATGAAAATCATTTCTTCATTGAATTTTCGCTGTTTCCGTACATTTGTACAATCAAACTCTGATATTATTGCATAGATATGAAGTCTAGATTATGGTATTTATTTACTCAAAGATTGAGCCCATTTCCTTATATATTGAGTGATTGAGAGCCTTATGTAGGATCCGATGATGATTGACTCACGCTTCCTTGTCATTATAAGATTTATCGACAATATTTTTAAGGTAGATAAGGCTACAGTTGGACTATATATGCTGAAAGTTTCAGCTCCATCTGATCAGATCTCATTCAATAACGAACCTATCCTTTCAGTGATTCCACAATCACTCCTATTGTATCTTAATACCTAAACCTCGATTTTTTAAAAATATGAGCGCCTTATATGCCTCTATGAATTCTCGAAAACCGCAGGTCGCTAGCTACTTGCGTTCTTGACTTATTCAATTTTTAACCGAGTACATCTAAGTCCTGCGGCGACATTAGTTTCCTTCTGTTATACTCATAGACCTTTTTAATATGATCTTTTTCAAAATCTTATTTATCTTAGATATTCAACGGTTACTGATTCAACAACAATTTCATCACGATATCATAGTAGAAATCGACCTCGTGGCAGAATACATCAATTACAATCAGGACTTGATCGAGTACTATTCTCTATTCGTTTCTTCTAATTTTTTTATTTAATAAATTCAGGCATCACCATTCAGCAGTCTAAATTCAGACTCAACAATGACATCAAATATTATCACAGTAACACTTAATTTAGGTATGTATTTGTTTTATCATTCATTGTGTAAACTAACAGAATGTTTTTATCAGACGCAGTTAACTTTTTGGGTGTTACTATTGTTGATCAAATCGATGAAACAGATTCAAGTGATGGAAGACTTTATGTTAAATCCATAATGAAAGGGTAAAACTCTATGAAACTAAAAGTAAACAAAATAAATCTTGGTGTTTCAGAGGTGCAGTTGCACAAGATGGCCGCATTGCACCAGGCGATATGATTCTTCAAGTAAATGATATTAATCTTAAAGAATTATTACATGATGATGTTACTGAAATTCTACGTGAAGCTGTCCAAAAACTTGGGTGTATCTAATTAACTAGTCTTCAATATTCTCTAATCTATTTTTTTTAGCACTTGGATATTTACATCGATTGTTGGTAGAATGAGTATAGGACAATATTTAAATTTATCTCTATCCATACTTCGTGCATTAAAATTATTGTCACGAATTACAGAAAGAAAATGAAGACTAAAATTCCTGACATTTTCCCCTTCTTTTCATGCATTGTGTTTCGTTACAGCCAACATTATCTTATTACATATGTATAATCACTTGGTTAAACTATATATGATGAAATTGATTGATCAACACGATTATTTGATGATGATTATATAGTAAATCAAACAATACAACGAACATTTAAAGAACAAGTAAGAAATGTAATGAAACAATGATTTTATTGTAAAACAAAAAATGATTGATCATTATTATTGAAAAGCTTAGAATTTCTGGTGATATTGACTAATAATAGTGTGATTAATATTTGTATTTAATTCACTAAATGTTTATTCATATGTATAATAAATAATAATTTTTTTTTCTTGTATGAAAAATATTTATGATGATTTATCTTGTTTTAATTTACTATTTGGTATGAGAACTCGTTATCGTGCTCTTTTTATTGAAATAAATTAAGTAAATAACTGAAGCTAGTAATGATATATTAATATATAGTTATCGAGTTTAGTAGACTGAAAAAAAATCAGAAACATCAGTTGACCTGCAGCCCAGAAAAAAAAATAGTCTATTGGCAAGACTGATTAGAGCGATGGTTTTTCTTGATTTAGAAGAATATAAAAATCTCTTTAACAGAATGCTCATTACAAACAGATTGTGAACATTTATAACATTGATTTAGGGTTCTTTTGTCTTTTAAACGATCATAATTTGAATATGATTTCCTCTGCATTTTCTCCATCATAGGATAACAAACAAGTGCTAATGCATTTGGCATATCTTTGTGTAAGAATTTCGAGGTTTTCGAACGTAAATCAAGATGATGAGTGACTAAACTTGTCATTAATTTTAAGCAACGTTTATGTTTTTTACTCTTACTTCAATTGACATTTTTCTTCTTCCATACTATTAGGGCATTTCGAACAGCAATAAGTCATTGCATTACTTATCAATAACCTTTCACCTTCGTATAATTTTGCTAGCTGATCAAGACAAACATTCATAATTGACATAAAAAAATGACAATGAATCTTTTTAATAATCGACTTCAAATTTTAAATAACGAAAAACGCAAGTATTTTCTGAAACTGAAATATTCCAAAATATTTTCATTAAATTTGTTTTTCCTGCAATGGAATCAAAAATCACTCCGATTAATAGCACTATAGTTAAAAAAAGAGAGTAAATATTTCCGGTAGAGTTAACTTTGTTCTTCCTAAAATACTCATTGTTAGCGCGAGATTCAATGTGCGTGTATCCTGTGATTGAGACAATACAATAACGACAATTACTTGTATCAAATGAGAAACGATATGCTATTGAATATTTTTTAATGCATATAAATTTCAAGAGTACTCCATCAACACTCGGAAATAAAAATTGATTACTCGAACTTGTTTGTCACATACTTCTTTCAGTAATTGCTGCAGGTATATATCAAGAAAAAAATCATACAATTCTTTTTCATTAAACTAAAAACTAATCAATTTATATAGGTGTAGTAGTATCAAATGAATTGAAACTATCACGTACTCGTTGATTTCGAAATGAATCTTGTTTATTTTTAACTCCTATAACTTCATGAACTGAAGAACTATGTTATGAATTAACAGCAATTGATTTTGCTTTCGACTGTATGGATGTCATTTCTGGTTCTAAATGTCGTCGTAATTGTTTATAATAAAGTGCACGCATAGTTTCAATGCCAATACGTTCTTCAGACTAAACATTCATCAAAATAATTTAGTTCGGAATCGAATCCAATAACTCTTACTGTTTGTATTAGTCTTGCTACTAAAACTCGTGTACCAACAGGTATTTCTTTTGAATAATTTGATTGTTGTGCTAAAAGTTCTTTTCGTGAGAAATTGATTGTTCAACAATTAACATTATTTTTGCCCACTATCGAAGCCATTCTTTTTTTCGTTCATTTACCATAGCATATGTATTACCCATCACTAAATAACATTAATTAATCAAAGAAAACAAAAAACAAATATTTTTAACATACAAGCAATAAGCATATTAATAAGAGGTACTGGAACTGTGACGACATAAGTGACAAATCACATCTAAAGTATCATCAAATATTGAAGAAGATGAAGTTGTTGTGAAATGTTACCTTTTTAAACTAACAATTCCTAGTAAAGTTAAATCATATCCAAGGGCAGCGTAAAGAAGCCAAAGCAAGGTGTAATTTCGAAAATGGGAGAAGATAAAAATTTCTTAGAATTTGGTCACTTTCTCCGAAATTCGCAGACAATTTGAGGGTATTTTCTCTTAAAATCGAAGAGAATTTCAGATCATTTTCTTCCAAAATCGAAGAAAATTTGAGTTCAAGGTCACTTTCTCTCAAATCTGAGTGTACTTTCTCCTAAATTCGGAGAATGTTGTCGCCGATCTTGTCAAAGCAGGAGAAGAATACTCTCCCAGTCGCACCATCCGTGGTCATACCTTTGGATTTTGAAACACTTTCATATGTTCAAAACAATGATGGCCATGGCGGTGCACCAGGGACATTTTTCTTTAGAAATTAGCGTGGCGCGAAAGATGTTTAAAAAAATACCATCATATTAGCGGCAGCTTCTTTTTATAAGACATTGCAAACTTCATGAATTTGTTCAGAATTTGGGTGTCAATAAGTGTAACACTCAGAGACTTGATGATCTTATAGATTTATACTAGCAGCTGTAGCCAAGTACAGTGATGATAAAGATTTCCGAAGGCCTTTTTTGAAAACAATTGCGACAGCATCAACTTTCTGTATAGTTCACTGAGTCGTGACATCGACACGATAGGCTCGGTGGCCTTCTCTCTTCTAGGATCGCAATGAAGAAGCTTTCTTTCTCCTAGAACCACTGCATGCAAGGTTTTTCTCCTCCTGGACCAGCGCGCGGAAGTCTTCTTTCACTAGGATCACGGCGCGGCAGCGGCGGATTCCCAGTCCCAATAGATATATCTGATTCAAACTCTAAAGCGTTACACTTTGCATATTCTACATTGAAACTCTCTCTCTATTTACTTTTCCAATGATTTGAATAGCAAATATTGGATGCCGATGAAGTTTTTCATAAGCACCGGTAACTTGTTGAAGTGTCACATAAAACATATGAAAAAATGTTTCAATAACAGTAGCAAAATCATTATCGCAATCAATTCGAACAAATAAAACATGCAATGCTTGTATAAAACCAAACATAAAAACAAGAAATATTAAACAAAAATGTAATAAATCACTACGAATCATTGTATATATCATTACTACAAAGGGATCTGTTGAACGAAAGCCACTTTGAAAAGAAAAAAAAATAGGAAAGAATTAATTATCATTAATAGACAGAACATTTTCTCATTTTTATCGGCACAAAAAACAAAGAAAAAATAAGGTGCACGAGGAAGTGTTGCAAATACACAAAGAACATCATTAATAATAATTAAACAAGTAAATCGAGCTGGTAACATTGTCAATGTTAATATATAAGAAAAAAGAAATAATACTATAGTTGGATCATTAACAGAAATAAATGAATCTAATTTAAAATTTGGATAAGAAAATTCTTGTATTGTAAGGTTAAATAGATCAATGCACCAAGAACACTTAAACCATCAAAAATATTAAGAATCTAAAAAACAAATCTTTCCTATTGTTTTTTTTTCTATCATTCTGATTTTTCTTACTAAAGCCATGGGTTCAAATGTTCGTTTTCTATTTTCGTCATCATTATTATTTATTATTATTCTCAAACTATGATTAGTGATTACTGTCTGATTTTCATCATCATTATGAAATAGTTTATGTCATAAAAAATTTGTATAATGACATTTATATTCAATTCGATTAGCAATTATTGATTTCATTATATTCTCTTCTTTATTAATTACTTTATGTGTAATACATGATGGTGACACATGATAATAACCACGAATCAATAATCCAAATAAACATATACCAAAATAAATTGTAAATATAGTCATACATTGAAAAAATCTATTGAATGAGTAGATTCACTTTCAATAGAAAATAGAGTAAATAACTTTACTTGAATTTGATGAATGTACGCCATTTTTCATTTAATAACTTTACAATTTGGTTTCGATACTGATCAATTTCCGATGAATTTAGATGATTGTGCTTTTATTATGAAAACAATTATTACTCAAGGTGGACTTGCTCCTGGTGGTTTAAAGTATGTACTTAGTTTTTTCTTTCAAAGCAGTATATAAATTCTTATTAGAGTTCTCAGTTAGGAATAGGGGTGACTTCTCTTCTACTTAAAATGTCCTACTTTCTGCCAATTTTCCACAGCCTTGTGGTAAACTAGATTTTGAAATACCATTTATCTTTCTCTTGAAAACAATGAAGTAAAGATAAGCAGATCATGTCGTTATGGGGTAAAACAATAGGAAACTAGATCATTCAGTAAGAAAGAATGAACGAAAGGTTCTCACTAGGTAAATCTACCTAAAAAAATTGTTTTGGATATTTGACCATACTTGTCCGAGATAATTAAATCTTCTGCCCCAGTTGTTTACGCTCTTTCTAACCATACACTTTTTATTATGTCTTCACCAGGCCTTAACTTTTAAACGGTTTAATATAAGTACCATTTTCAAGGTTTATATGTGACAGAAAAAAGCGTATTTGATGAAAATAGTACCTTTAAATTATTCAGATATTTGTTCACAGCTGGGCAGAGTGAAGTTGTATAGAATTTCTGAATATACATATAAAATAAAAATCAAATTCTTATTCTAATTAATTCATTTTGATTCTCTTCAATTGCAACTAGACATTCAAAATATAAGTAAATACATATGCGAAGCCTATCAAGTTTATAATTTGTATACACATCAATTTAGATCCTTCTAAATTTTATTGCTTAATACAACAATTTAAATCAAAAAGAACTCTGAACATATAGACAGACAAAGTATGTAATATTCAATCTTGTTGAGTACTTTTATATTCTCTGTAATAGCTTGTAAGTGACTGAAAATAAAATGGCTATGTTGTGAATAAACTTTAAACACATAGATTAAAAAATCATCATTAACCCAATTAATAGGACTCAAAGAAATTCGACACAATAGACTTTATATTGTTTACAAGAGTAAAAGATTATATTTTTGGTAATGCGTTGATTTATTAATTGGAAATTTTATTAGGAAAACTCTTTTGAATCAAAATATAGTATTTGTTCAATTTCGAATTTAGATAATAAAAAAGAAACAGGAGCATTTGCTAGTTTTTGTTCATTTATAATAAACGAAACACTATTTTATTTTTAATATAATTCGACCAAAAAAAAATTGCCAGAAGTTGGATTTTATATATTTCCTTTTTAATATCTTATCATTCGTGATATAACTGGAATCATATCATATTAAAATTGATATAATGGTAATATTTTTACATTCGCTTTTTATTTCATTCAAATAGAAAGATGCAAGCATGTTTCCTTGATACACGATATAGAACGCCCTCTTTCTTATTTTAGAGGCCATACGTAATTTTTAATACAATGGTGATTTTGTGTATGTACGTCGAAGTGTATGTAGCTTATCTCAACCAATAATTTGTTTATTTGGCGGATTGAAGTCCTTCTTTTATCTAAATTATCTTTCGAAGCAAAAAAAATAAGTGTTGTTTCTTTTTGCGAGCAAATATATTAAATATTATGCTAGTTGTGTAGCATGAAGAGAGAGATATCTAACTTACAATACAAATATTTTAAATATATTTTATTACAAAAGAACTATTCTATAAAGGCATATGAAATTTGTCATTGTAGATATTTTCATAGACATAAACTATTCTATTCAGGTCAGTTTCTAATAATTAAATATAAATATACAATAAAAAATGTGAATATAAGATTGTACTTCGCAATATTAATCTTTATCTTATATCTATGAGTAGATAATAATCAATACTGCATAGTATCAAAGTTTCGAGAGTAGCAGAAGCAAGGCATATTATAAATACGAAATCAAAGACTTAATTATACATAATTATCTTTAGTTACGTTCACGTATAATAATTAGATTTTATCAAAACATTCAACTCGTAGTACGTGATAAAATGTTGAATTTAGATATAAATTTTCAATGAATAATGATGTGTGTGAATACCCCAGGGCTTTTTTTTGTTGTGGCTGCTTTCTTAATAGAAACAATTTGAAAACTTTTTTGAACATGCATAATTTGAAAATTCTATTTTTCTAGCAAATTCATTATATATTGATAAAGAAAGGTATGTCATTCGTTTTGAATGTTGACTCCGAACAAAAGAAAAACGATTGACTATAATCATGCTTGACAAAGATATGTTGTTTGTACGAATATTCTATTGAAATTATTCATTAACCCTTTCAATCTCGGCGGCTCCTTAAGGAGCCACCTGTGTTTTCTTTTCAACATTAATGTATACAATTAAACTGATTTCACAGCGCAATAGACGTGAACAATACCTTCAACTTGATATATCACATTAATATTTTTTATATTCACACATCCCTCCTCCCACGGTCTCCTTTTCTTTAAAAAGGAACTTAAAATAAAATAAAATAAAAAATTTAAAAAGCCTCTTCAATTTTTCGAAAACAAAACCAGCACTGAAAGAGTTAAAAATAACGATAAATATCATCCATAAACTAATTCAGTTAAATAAAAAAAAAGTCTGTTTGGCAACTAAGAAAAAAATCTAATAATAGTAACTGATCATTATCTTAGCACGACTAACACAATTCTAGAGTATATATATATAACATGTTTTGTACTGTGTTCTTCGCTTATTGTTGAGTTTAGATAATTATATTTGATCTGTATCTCTTTTCTTCTCAACAAAGGTAATTTTATCATAAAGCAACAGAATCATATGACAATAATTTTTACATACGCATCCATACAAATGTACTTCTATGTGTTTTTTTTTATTCTTATTTTTTTTCTAAACTCTTGCAAATTTACAGATATAGAATTTCTTTTTTTTCCTCTGTCATTTTGTTGTTATTTTTTTTTTCGAGCATGTATTTCACTACTTACTCGTCATATTCAGTTTTCATTGTAGATAAGAATGAATGAAGATGCATATACTTCTTACTCTTTCTTTTTGTAGATGTCCCGTGTAGAATAACACTATTTTAATTCGTACTTTGTTTTTTTTTCTAAATACTACATTTAAGTTTTTCTAATGGATGTTCAAGTTCCACCTCCACCACCACCTCCTCCGCCATCATTTCTTACTGAAACGACAACTTCGCAATTAACAGTACCACCACCATCACTCCCTCCTCCAGAATCAGTCATTACAACAACAACAACAACCACAACCGTAGCTGCTTCTTCTGTTCAAGATCGTATTTGGTTACATCCATGGACGGTAACTGAAATGCGTGAACACGCATCACAATGGTCATTGGCTGGTGATGCTGGTGTATGTAAAGAAATTTTTTTTTAATTTTTTTGAAATAAATAAGCATAATCTTCTCGTTGATTGTCTAGTTATTACTTTATTTGGAACAATTTTCTGGTAAATTAGCTCAACGGGCTGATGCTATTCAACAACATTTAAATCAAACAGTTAATGCTGTTAAAGTATATAAAATATAATTATATATCAATAAATAAGTTAGTTAATGTTTTCTTTTTCATTTATTTTAGAGTACACATACACGTGTTCAAAATTGTCTTAATGAATTTACATCATTAGCTAATACACAATTTATTGAAAATGTAAGATAAAGAATAAATAATAATAATTTTATTTCATATTAAATTAATTATAAATTTATTCGTTTTTTTGTTTAGCGTGTTTATGATGAAGATGAAACAGTTAATGCAAAAACATCAAAAAAAGATGAACAATCTACAGTAAGTAAGATGTTCATTAATAAATAATATATACATCTATTAAAAGTATAGATAATCTAAGATAGAGGTGTTAGAAATTCTTCATACACGATGTTAAATATTTATTGAGTTTTCAATGATTTTTTTTTTCTCATAAGCTAAATGTTTATTAAAACATATTCTCATTTTTATAATTTGACAAAATAATTTTTATTCTTTAGGAAAAAACTAATGTTAGTAATAGTGAAGCACAAGAAAAAGTTTTACAACGTTATGTTGAAGCAATTCAATATGGTTTAACTATTCTTGATACACATTTTGAACGTGTTGATGCTAAATTAGATAATATTCAAAATGGTATATCATCAATTGATGATGATGAAGATGTTGGAGTACCAATTGAACCTATACTTGAACCAAAAGATCCTTATATATTTCGACCATTACCATATCTTATTGGTACAAGTGAATTTATGCAAGATGATTTTGTTGGTTTAGCTGATTTATTAAATATACATGATGAAGATACATATGATGTTGAACAAATTGAAAAAATTGAGTCAGATTCAGTAAATTTCGTTTATTTTGAATTTATTATTATTATTATTGTGATGAAATAATCTTTTATTTTCATAGGCATTATCAAGTTCTGATCAAGAAGATGAAGATTTTGTAAAGATTTTTGTTTTATGGTTTTATATATTTTTATATTTTGTTTGTTTTTTTTTAGCAAGTCCAAGTATCATCAGTACCAATTGTTCCAGCTGGTGCTAGTCGTCCAGGTTTTAATAGAAATTTCAAAAATATTATTATTCTATTTTTTTCTAATGTCAATCTGTAGATATAGCAAACCGATCAGCAACAACTGTATTAACAGATAGTGAAGATGAAAATGATCTATTTGGTATGAATACTGGTCCGAAATTTGATGATTTTTCATCAAAAAAACCAGTGTATAATGATATATCTGAGGAACCTACAAAATCTAAAAAAGTAGATTCTTTTCACGGTTAGTAAAAAAAAACAAAATTTATTTTTCCTATCATCTATTTGTTTGAATATCTTCTTTTTTTTTTTTTTATAAAGAATTAGATAATGAAGACGATATTATGTTTGGTATTCCAGTTAAGAAACCTCAACCTATTATTGAAACTAATAATAATAATAATAATAATGAGAATTTTGATAATGAATCATTAACATCAAAAGAATCGAATGAACCTGAAGAACAACAAAAACATATAGGTGGTATATCAATGTTCGGTAGTGCACAAAAAGGAATGTCTGAACTTGAAAAAGCTGTTTTACGACGACGAAAAGCTATGGGTGAACCTGATGTATCATCAATTGATGAAGATGATGAAATAAAAAAACCGAAAAAAACATCAAATGAAACTATGTAAATGTTTGTTTTATTAATTAATTAGTTAATTCTTTTTTTTTCTTATAAATTAGTTCACCAATTGTTACTAAAATACCAACAGAACGATCATCTAGTACAATGTAAGCATTCGAAAATTAAAAATCAAAATCAAACATAGACTTTTTGTTTTTAAATATAATTTAGTTCAAATCTTACTTCACAACCATTAACAAAACCAACAACAACAACAACAACTGAAAAGGTAAAACACATTGAACTTCTCTATACCGGAAACAAGAGATGTGCAAGATTAGGTAATAATTAGAAACTATTTCTCACGAGAGAACTTCCGCAATTAGTTAATCACTTTTGAATCAAGACTATGAACATTATGTAGACTCTAATGAGCTATAAATGTCCTAAATAAACCTCGAGTTCTTAGCTTATCGGAGCAAAGATATTGGATAATTTTAACTCAATTTTGATAGTTCCCTCGTCAATCAGGGCGTAGAATGCAATAAAAGCTTACGCTGTAGATTCCTATCGAAAAGTGATATATCTATGACTAGTTTTTTATTAAGCTTTACTTATCAACTATTAATTGTTGTACGTTTTATTTGTTGAGTCTATTTAAAATCGTTTTTGTTTAGATTTCTAAATCATCGATATTTGGTGAAAATATTCCAGCTGATGATGAGGATGAGGATGAAATTTTTTTCAGATGTACCAAAATTAAAACCATTGTCGAGTATCGTACCATCATCATCATCAAAAACTATAGTTGATACAAAACCATCAATAATAATTCCATCGAAAAAAGAAAAAGATATATTTGATAATGATACTGATGAAGATGATGATCCATTTGCAATAAAAAAGAAAGATACTTCATCATCATTGTCAATAAAAAAGAATGATACAAATTCAAAAATTCAATCACAAACAACAACTAAACCTAAACCAGTTATTCCTCCAGTTGAAAGTGATGACGATGACCTTTTTGGTACAAAAAAAACACAACCAAAACCAATTCCAACAATATCAAAAACTAGTACTATTGAAAAAACTAAATCACCTAGTTCTGACGACGATCTTTTCAACACATCGACAATCACTAAAACACAACCACCACCAACAAAAACATCTGAAGATGAAGATTCTTTATTTGCTCGTAAACCCCCAGTACAACAACCAATTGCACCTATTGTTCCTGCTTCTGCTCCTGTTTCTACCCCATCAATTAAAAAGTTAGCCATCGTAACTGATGAAGATAGCGATGATGAAATCTTTGGTATATCTAAAACAAAACCAAAAGTACCAACAACTGAAAAACAAAACAGTGTTTCATCTACTAAACCTGATGATAACAATAATTTACTTGGTAAATCAACAACTACATCTAAAGTAGTGACAGCAGAAACTCCAAAAGTTATTCCATCTATGAAATCTAATGATGATGATGAATTATTTGGTGCATCAAAAACTAAACCAAAAATACCCACAACCGAAGTACAAAAAGTTTCCTCACCTATTAAAACTGATGATGATGAAGATGATTTATTCGGTAAATTAACAATTAAACCTAAACTATCAACAAAAGACACTCAAAAAGTTATTCCACCTACAAAATCTAATGACAATGATAAATCATTAACTAAACCAAAAATCGCAGTTACAAAAGACGATGATGAGGATGACGAATTATTTTCTTCTCCAAAACCAAGTCAAGTTAAATCTCCTGCAGCTACTGTTTCATCTCCTTTACCTTCAACAACAACAACAACAACTGTTAAAACCGATACTTATGAAGATCCTTTAACAGGAATTCGAAAACCTATTGAAACTACATCCCAACCACCAATAAAAACTCCAATTGTTCAACCAGTAAAGAAATCTATTTCAGATAGTGATGAGGATGAATTATTTCCTAAACGACAAGTAAATACAGCAGCATTAAAAGAAGGTGAAAAACCAAATGTTAAAGCACTTTCAGTAAGATAAACAAACTTATCACAAATAACTTTTTCACAATTTTCTTTCTTCTAGTCACTTTTAAATATTAATCCAAATGCTCATCGACCAGGTGCACGTCCGAAAACACATTCATTTATTGAAGAACAATCTAAACCTTCTGTTGTTAATGATGATCAACCGAGTCAAACTATTGAACCTTCACAAACAGTTGTGAAAAAATTATCAAAACTTGATTCGGATAGTGATGATGATTTATTTGGTAATAAGAAAAAAGAAAAAGCAACTGTTTCGAATACAGAACAAAAAGATAAAACTAATGTTGAAGATGAAAAAGTTAATGTTAAAGCACTTTCGGTAAAAAAAAATTTTATTTTTTTTTGTCCTGAAAAATCTATTAATTGATATTTTAGTCACGTATTAAAATAAATCCAATGACGCATATGCCAGGTACTCAACCGAAACCAATCTCTAATGAAGAAAATGGATCAAATAATGTAGTACAAACAACTTCAACGGAAACATCTAAAGAAGAACCAATAGTTGATAAAACTATGTTGAATATTCTTAAAGTAATAAACTACAACTTTAAGTTTTTCGATAATTTTTTGACTATAGAAAGGAATATACTTTTCTGTTAAAAAAAAACAATATTTTTATTTTTTTGTTTTTTGTTTTAAGGATCGAGCTAAAGTATCAGTTAAAACTCGAGCGCCACCAACAAGAAAACCTCGTTCAACTGGAGCTACAACAGCTGCAATGGCAAATGCTGATGAGGATGATCTCTTTGCTTTGCCTAGTTCGAATAAAACTGCTACATCATCTTCTTCGACTACTAGTCCAGTAATTCCTTCTCAATCTGATATTCCTCCACCAGTATCTATAACAGGTTTGCCAGATAACACTGCTGCTATTGCTGCTATATCTGATAAACAAACTAATTCAAAAGAAAAGAAAACTTTTTCACTTTTTGATTCTGATGATTCTGATATTGATGAATTGTTATTTGGTTTTAGTAAAAGTATGCTCATATATTTTGAATTATTTCTTTATCTATTTATTCTTATATAGAAAATAAATCTTCTATAACATCAAAACCAACTACAACAGTAACTTGATTTTTTTTGTTTATTATTAAAAAAGAAACATATTTTTGATTTTTTTTTTGTTAGCCATCAACAACTACAAAATCAAATATTTTATCATTAGATGATGATGATGATAATGATTTTCTATCAAAACGACCAATAAAAAAGAGTACAAAACCAATTGATGATGATGATATATTTGCTGATGTTAAAATTAAATCCCAACAAACAAATAAAGCTAAAAAAGATTGGTCAATTATGAATAAAACAGTAACAGATGATACAGGTATTTTATTTTATTCTATTTTTCTTTTATCTGAAATAAATTTTCTTATATTTATTTAGATGATATTTTTAATGATGGATCAACAAAATCTTCCACTACCTCAAAATCAAAATCAACAAATGTTAAAAATAAATCAATCAAGGATTTGGATGATATTTTTGATGATCCATTCAATGTTTCGTCCAAACGATGAACAAAAACAATAGAAAATAATAAAAGCCTAATTTTGCATTTCGATTTGTTTCTTCGTTTTTTTTTATTCCTCGCATTTGTGCAATATATAAATAAATCCAGTTTATTTTTCACTTCGTAATCGAATATAAATTTTGATATATCAATACAAAAGAATATCTTAAATATACTCTTCTTATTTGTGTTATTCATTATTCATGAAATAGTCCTCAATAATATATCAATGAACACAAAAAAACAATATAGTTCAAGTAAATCTGTATAATTATGTATATTTTTTTGCAAAGAATGGTGTCTTGATAGTTTATATAATTGAATAAGCCCAAATCACGTATAACAACCAACTAAAAGAGAGTTTTCCTTCATTTATCTCGTTTTTTAACGTCAATAATACGTATGATGCTTTATTTGAATTTCCGGACACCCCTTTTGTTTCTTGTTTATCAAGGTATAGGAGGTATAAGGAGATACAGGAGATATTGATTAATTGGTACAGCTGATCATTCAATGATGTTTAAATTTAAATATCCATTCGTAAAATATATATTGCTGCTACTTGCTAAACGTTACTTGAAAAAATCAATTTCTATACCTCCTTATATCTCTTATATCTCCCATACCCCGTATATCTCCTATACCTCCTATGCCTCCTATATCTTGATAAACAGGAAACAAAAGGAGTGCGGAAATTTAAATAAAGCATCTAATCACTCCAACACATCTCGCTAACAAATTCTGATCCACTTTCGTCTTTTTTTACTCGATCCTAATTAAACAAAAATCAATAAATTATTTTCATTTCAAATTTTATTTACCGTTGTATTTGTTACCGTTTTAATCGTTCCATTATTTTGATCATTAAATTTATAACTCAACAATGATCGAGAAATTTCACGTCGATATAAAAGTACTGTATTTGTTTCGCTACCTTAAAAAATCCAAGCAAAAAATTTTCTATTTACGAAAAACAACAAGCAACCACCACCGTACCACAGACAATATAACCAGATGATACAGCTAAACCAACAAAATTTTTTTCATTAACATGTCCACGATGTGTTCTTAAACATTGTTCTGCGGCAACACGCCGTAATCGCAGTTAACTATCTGTTGATGCTGAGACAATTTCTTTAAATCCTCGATTATCTTGATGAAAAGCATGTTCAACAAGCATTTCATGGCCTCAGTCAGCGCTTCTCTTAACTCCTTGATCATTATTCGGGTCGATCTGTGTCACTCTCCTTCTCCTGAAAAGATTCGTCAAAGATAGAACAATACTGTAAGGGTGTTGTTTCCACGCAGGTCCACCCACTTTTACATCGACTTTCTGCTAGCAAGATTTCACTATGTTAGTTTTGTAGCCCTCGTCGAGTTATGTAAGAATTGATATTCAGTTTTGATTCAAATCGTGCGCTAACTTCAGTAGAGCAGGCTGAAAAGTCGATTTTACCGAAAATTGACTCCCCAAACCAGTCTGTTTTATTTTTCGTGAACATTCTTTAGAAATTTTGATTTGACCATTGGATAGAGCATAAAAAGTTGTCTATATAAAATAATTTTCAAAACTATATTTCAAGAAATCATTGTTTGGGAGTATTTACAAAATTAAGAAAAATGGCACTTCATGCTAAAATTGTAATGTTTATAAAATTTATACAGTCAGCTAAAGACCCTAACATATTATGATTCAAATGAAGTTTATACTATGCTTATTCAAACGTGATATGCTGACGTTTTTGAAAGTTTTCATTGCTTCAGATAGATGGATTCGAAGGCTCAACCGGTCTTAAAAAATCTCACATTGGGCCTCGGTTTTCTCAAAAACTGCACGTCAGAATTTCTTGAAATTTTTTTTCCAAATAGACCTAAGTGACCACTGCTAGTGCTTAAAATATTAGACTTCCCATTTCAGGATTGTAGGAGATGGAGCTCTTCCAAGTTAGGCCAAATTTCGATGTTTTTCAAGAAACCTCTGTGGAGGGGGCCCCCGGGTAGTCGGAATAATCGAATTTTCGAATTTTGACCCGAAACTTTGCGTATACAGAAGTCTCAGCTAAACTAGCTTGCACATAAAAATTCAGAAGTTTTGAATCAAGTCTCGTCAAGATATGAAGCTTCATCTTTAGAAAAGAACTTCTATGGCAGGAGGTCCATATCTTGGAAAAACTTTGTTCGAAACTTCTGAATTTTTATGTGCAAGCTTGCCTAGTAGAGGCCTCTATGTGCGCAAAGTTTCGGGTCAAAATTCGAAAATTCGATTTTTTGACTACCTGAAGTTCTCCACAGGGATCTTTTGAAAAGTACTGAAATTTAAGCTAACTTGGAAGAGCTCTATCTCCTACAATTCTGAAATGGAAAGTCTAATATTTTAAACACTAATAGAGTCCGCTTAGGTCTATTCAGAAAAAAAATTTCAAGAAATTCTGACGTGTAGTTTTTGAGTAAACCGATTCCCAACATAACGATTTTTGGGACCCCATCCTCTTTAGACCTCTTTATCTAGAGCTTAGAATACTTTGAAGAAACTTGCCATAGTGGATTTGAATGAGAATAGTATAAGCTTCATTTTGGTTATAATATATTAGGGTCTCTAACTGAATGTATAAATTTTATAAGTAGTTCAATTTAAGCAAAAAGTGCCATTTTTCTCAAATTTGCAAATGCTACCAAGCAATCAGTTCTGGAGATACCATTGTGAAAATTATTTTATATGGACAACTTTTTATGTTCTATTCAATGGCGGAATCAAAAATTTCAAGGAACACCCATAAAGAATGAAACAGACCGATTTCGGGGCCGTTTTCTCATAAAATCGACTTTTGGAGCTGCTCTGCTGCTGTTAACGCATAACTTGAGTCAAAACTGAATACCGTTTTCTACACAACTCGATGAGGGCTACAAAACTAGCATGCTTAAATCTTTCTGGGAGAATGTTCTCTAAAAAGTGGGCGGGGTTGCGTAGAAGTACCCGTAATGAGCTAATCGTGCCCAACAAAGACCGAATCCGATCTTTGAAATTCAATTGTGAAGGTCAAATTCAAACAGTGTTGTCACAATGCGTATTCGACGAGTCGTTCACCCGTCTCGAATCAATCTCGTTGTATGAGCGCAATCTGTAAGATTTACTGACAGTATTACATAAACTCCCTATACTTCCACGACTCAAAGCGTTACAGATCAAATTGGATCTATCGATACTTCGAAATAACTCACTGGATGATATCTACTCCATAGCACTTCAATATATTCAACTCTGACCTCCTTAACTGTCGAAGATTCATCTCAAATGATTGGCGATCGATCTTTTGAACGATTAATATCTCGGCTTGAGAAAAAGATAAAACTTTGAATTTATTTTCAAGAGATGTGCTATGTAAAGGTCTACAACAAAACTGTTTGAAAAAATTTCTACTGACCTCTTCTAATGATTTTTCGAAATTTAAAATGAACAACCCATATGATAGTATTATTTCCCACTGAATTAAGCACAATAAAAATTGTTTTAGAAGATTCTTTTTATTGTACATATAACTCGGCATAGGCAAACAATATAATCTTGATTCTTTTAGTAAAAGATGCGTTGTCGAAAGTTCTACAAAAATGGTAATAACAAATCCATATTGCAAAATAAAAACATGTTCCAAACATTTTTTTATCATGTTCAATACAGTGAAAAGTAGCACTATCATGTAAGTTTTTTAATTTGAGTATGAAAAAGACCATAGCCATAAACCAATAGAGATTTGTTATTAGCCATTTTTGTAGAGCTTTCAACGGCGCATCTTTTAAAAAAAGTTCAAGAATTTATCATTTATCTAGGTCAAGATACATGCAAAATAAAAGATGTTGCAAACATTTTGGCACACTCAGGTACTCATATTTTAATATGAATGTCATGTGGTGCCATCTTTTGAATCGAATAAAAATCAAATATTAAAATCACCATAAAACTAGAACATGATTCTCATAACATTTAATAAGTATGTGATAAATTATTTTTTTGTTCATTTTTTTCTTGATGTCGAATTAACATACCAATCATAAACTAGAATATATTCCTTCGTTTTTTTTTTTTGTTGCATTGGTTTTTTATTTATTTGTAATTTGGACTTGACAATTTACTAAAACAATATGGCATCTCTTCTTAAGTAAAAAAATAGAAATTTCAAACAATCAAAAAAAAAAGTATCTAATTTTAATTTTTATTCTTTAGATGGGCAACAAAATTAGCTATTGTTGGTGGTGCCACTGTACTTGTTTTTAATCGTGAAGTATTCGGTACAAATAAATATACTAAACAAATTATCAATGAAGTTCGTACATCATTACCCGATACAGCCGAAGTGTTCGATCAAATGCCAACAAAACGAGAACTTAATGATGCTATTGTAAATAGTTGGAATTCGGGTATGAATTATTATTTTCTCAGTCATGTTCTTTCTTATTTTTTTCAATCCATAATTGAATTCTTTTACAGGCGTTCAAACAACATTTAAATGGCTTGCTGATGCTCCAACACATACATGCCAATTATTTTCTTCTCTTTCTAAGAAAATTAATGGCTAAGAAAAAAAAAAAAGATCGATTGTAGTCAATAATAGTTAGTGTATGCGTGTGTTGTTTTTATGGTCTTCAATATATTAGAAAAAAAAAACCTATTTTCCTTGCATTTATTTATTTTTCTTTTTTTTGGATGAGAATACTCTATCGCGCCTGCATTTGTTGATTAGATGTATATACGGGGCGCAAAATGTTGTTATTGTGTACTATATAGTCAGGGCAATGGGGTCGTACGTCGAACACAACAGAACAACAACAACATCGATACTATGCTATTCGTTGTGGTAGCCTGTTTCTTCTTTCTTCTTCGTCTTATTTTCTTTTCCTCTCTCACTCCATCATGCTATCAAAGCAACAACATCAGCTTCATGGCAACGTTCGAGCAAGAAGAGAGAGAGAGCGAGCGAGCGCGCAAGTCAAGATAAACAATATTTGTATGCGCGTACGCGAATCTGATTCTTTGTTCTCATTTGAAAATTTGATGCATCTGTTGTTTTTTTTTTCTTTCCATTTTATATATATATATATATGTTTGCTTCGCCAAGCAACATACACACAAATAACAGGGATTGACCTCTGTTTCTCTCGTTTTTCTTTTTTTTTTTATTTAAGATGAGAAAGAAAGAAAAAAAAAAGAAAGAGGTAAAAAAAAAATACTAAAGAACGGACAAACAAGCAGTCATCATCGATCTGAGAGAGAAAGATTAGTCGGAAAAACAGCCATCTGTCTGTCTCTTCATTGAACGCGCATTGAGTTTCTGTGTGTGTGTGTGTGTGTATGTGTGACTCTAAAGAAGAAGGAAAAGAAAAATAATAATAGGCTTCAATATGAAGAAGAAAAAAAATGTCTCTTACATTCAAACTAAAGCATGGTTGAACTCGTCACCGATATTGTTTTTATTTTTATTTTTTTTTTTCTAGATTAGTATTGGATGAATTTTTTTGTTCTTCTTTTTCTTCTCAATATAGAATGAGAGTTACAACAAATCGAACATCAAAACTTCAAACAGCAACACGTACAAAAGCATCAACAACAACAATATTAAATGAACAAACAGGACATTTACAAAATGGTACAACTATAGTTTCACCAACATCATCAAATAATGTATGATTTAAATTGATTGATAAGATATTAATAGTTACATTCTTATTGTCTTGTTGTAGGGTACACTTCGTTTAATTGATTCAGGTGATTATTTATCAACAGCAGTTTCACCACAACAACATCAACCTGTAACAACATCAACAATGCTTCAATATTTACAACCATCTTCAAATGCAATACAAAATATGCTTATTCAACAGATATTAACAAGTCCCGAACAGGTATGTTGATCATATGATGCAACAGGTCAACATATGTATGATATATATGTATGTATATATATACATGTTGACCATCTTTCTCCCTTTTTTTTTTTCTTTTTTTTTATTATTATCAGGTAGGCAAATGTCTATGAAGCCTACTATATGTTTTTTTTCGTACACATGCAATGAACATTAAAGTTTGATTTCTCATTTCTTTCTCTCTATCCCTTTTTGTATGTCTATTTCTTTGACGGGTCGTCGTTCGACGAACGACAAACATCGAGCGGGACGCTGGATTGTAGTGTTCGCTTGTGAGGACGGCCAAAAAACAACACATCACACATACGTATACAGAATAAGAACGACAGAGAAGAGAAGGAAAGAAAATTAATAACAGAGTAAAAAAAAAGAAAACCAAGCGAGTGGAGAAGAAGAAGAGGAAAAAAGAAACATAACCAACCAACAAAAAATAACATCAACAACAACAGCAGCACCATCTTGTATGTGTGTGTGTGCGTTTATACTATTTCATGCATACTATGGCATCTGTGACAATTATAATAAAATAGTATCGAAAGAAAAATGTGATAACTTATATCTTGATACGATTTATCACATATATATATATATATACATATGTATATAATGGTTCTATTGTCTTTTATTTTATTTAGCAACGTCTTCTTGTAGAAAAAATTAATCAACAATTAAGTGAACAAATACAACTTAATCTTGTTCAACCAACAACAACATCACAACCAACAACAACAAATTCAGACATTATTAAACAAATTCAAGTAAGATTTAATGTAAAAATTTCTTTGATCTTTATCTATTCTTTTTTTGATTCTTTTATAGAATCAACTTGCTAGTCAGCAATTACTTCTTCAACAAGTTTCATCAAAACAACAACAACAACAACAACAACAACAAATTCCAAGTCTATTTAGCATTACAAATTCCAATAATACTAATCAGCCAACAACAGCTACTCTTCAATATTTAACAACTACACCTAATAATTCGTCTACTAGTGGTAAGAAAAAATTTTTCTTTTTCTCTTTTCTATTTCATTCCTATTAAAACTAATTCTCTGTATAAACAAACTTCATATATATAAGTCTATGCAGACTCTCCATCCGTGATTTCAATTGCTACACGTCCTTATCATCATCAACAACAACCAACATGTGTTAATATCACCGATTTATTAACAACAGGTCGAACTATGAGCACTGGTTCGTCATACAAAAAAAAAAAAAAATTTCGTCTAATTGAATGATTCCCTCTTTAATTTTCTGCGTGTTTGCGTCTATTTTTTTTTCTATGCTTTTATCTGCACGTTTGTGTGCCTAATTTATTTTCTAACAAATTCCATACAACAAATAAAACCATTTTTCTCTTTTTTTTTTTATTTATAGGTGTAAATATTCTCGGAAATAATAATAATAGTACTGAAACACGAATAACAATGCCAACAACAACTATAAATCGTTCATCAACACTTACAAATCAACAACAACAACAAGATTCATTAAATCCTTTATATCAACGAAATTATTGTCGTTGGCCAAGTTGTGATACATTATGTTCATCATTAATTGATTTTAATCGACATCTTAATGATGAACATTCACTTGATGATCGTTCTGTTGCTCAAGCACGTGTACAACAACATGTTGTACAACAACTTGAATCATTATTAACACGTGAACGTGAAATTTTACAAGCTATGATGAAACATTTACATGGTGGTTCAATAAATACAAATGGTGCAACATCATCATCATCATCAAATACAACAACAACACATATTATAACTCAACCAACAACACGTACATTAACAACATCAACAACACCATATCATCATACATTAGCAACAAATGCACGTACAACACAATTAACATCATTATCATCACCAGCATCATCATCATCATCAATTAATAATACATCTTCGTCAACAGCAGCACTTCATCATTTACCAATAGTTAAATTAGAAAATGCTTTTTTAACATCAACTGGTATTGTTGCAACAACAAATTCAATTGATTCATATAATCGTACAACACCACATGATCTTTCATCAAATACAAATGCAACAACATCAACAATATTACGTGCTAGTGCATCAAGTTCACCACCACCTGTTCATACAGTTGAAGAAGAAGTTGGAGATGATACACAAGATGATGATGATGATGATGATAATATGGATGATATTAATGGTGATATATCAACACAAACAGGTCATAATGGTAATATATTACCTATGATTAATATGAATAAACATCGTCTTAATCGAAAATCATCTAAAACAATGTTAGCATTAGGCGGTAAAAAACCAGGAAAAGGCAAAGGTTTTAATTTTATTGAATAACAAAATCTTTGAAAAAAGAAATTTATATATGTTTTTGTTTTGTTTTTTTTTGTAGAATTAAAAAATCGTGAATATTATATGACACATGATGTACGTCCACCATTTACTTATGCAACATTAATTCGTCAAGTATATAGAATACAAAAAGAATAATAATTATTTATTTAAATTATTTATATTTTAGGCTATTATTGAATCTCCAGATAATCAATTGACATTAAATGAAGTATATAAATGGTTTGAAGGACAATTTTTATATTTTCGAAAGAATGCACAAACTTGGAAGGTTTGTGCGACGTTGTTATTTTTTTTAAATAGAAAATTGAATTTCTTTTTTGGGGGGTTTATTTATAGAACGCTGTACGACATAATCTTTCATTACATAAATGTTTTATGCGTGTAGAAAATATCAAAGGTGCCGTATGGACTGTAGATGAAAATGAATTTTGTAAAAGACGTTTAACACGTAGTACTGAAAAAGGAAATAATCATAATGAATCATCATCATATGGGTATGAATAGAATAGTTCTATTAAGTCTTTATGCAGGATTGTTTTTTTGATATATTTTAAGACATAATACATCTACTCGTTTATCAACTGGTGATGATCAAGCACTTTATTCATATCCATTTGGTATGGAAGATGATTATAAAGATTTTAAAGTAAAAATTTTTAATATTTATTTGATATATGTATATATATATTTATTTATTTAATTTAGGGCTTATTAAATCCTCATGAATTAGCATTAAGTGGTGGTCATTCTCATGGTGGAAATGGTGATGAAGTTGATGATGATGAAGATGATGGAGATAATTCTGGTAGTGTAAATGGAAATGGTGGTGATCATCATGATCAATCTACTGATATGAATCATAGTCAATATGATCAAACTGATGATGATGATGGACAAAATGATATGAGGTATTTGCGGATTTTATTTTTCGTAGTTTTTATAGAAATATCTCGAATATATTTAGAAATCTATCATTAAAAGAGATAAAGAGAAATCGGAAAAAGGGTTAGTCCTGTATTTTTTATTTTTGCTCGTCAAGGGAAGGGAAAGAATTAATCGATATATATATATATATATATATACACATGTATCTTTGTTTAATGCATATTTTAATAATTTTGTTTTTTTGTTCTAGTTTAGCACATGGTGACGATGAACAAGTTGATGAATAAAATGTTCTCGTTGTGCAATATATGATATATATATATATATATATAAATGTTGTTGTTTTCTTTTTTTTCATTTCCGACAGACAATGTCAGATAATCCATTTCTTCTCTTTATTCGACACACGCACATG